AAAAACAATTCATCATCCCTTGAGAAAAGAGAGGAATCAGTTTCTGGGTAGAGTTGCAATGGTGGCACCACAAGCACAAGAGCCCTGGCAAAAATGTTCTTATAAAATCCCAGCTGTGGAGATGGTCACCAGAGCAGATCTTACATCTCTCTTGCATACATTACCTTTTCTTTTCAAAGGACACTAAATAATTGAATATCTCAATGCAGGCTCTTGTGACCAGCCCCAAACCCAAGAGAATAAAATTATTAGTTTGCAAAGCCAGGCGTGAAGGTTAAAAAAAAGAAAAGAAGGGAAATATTTTAATCTAGCTTGCTAATTTTTTCCCACACATTTTCAATTTTTTAGGTAGAGCTGTGCTGAGAGTGGGGCAAGAAGTATGACCACTATTGAGGGTGTGTAGGGATTGTGGGGTATATAGGGTATGCTGTGTTGTCCTAGACAGCATCACGGATCTGCAGTGACTGCGGGAGAAAAACAGGATGAGAAAGAGGAGGCTGGGGCAGGGCACAAGTGCCAAACTACATCACTTTGAGGGTCTCTTTTAGAGCCTGAGCCATCAAACCAAGCCAGTCTGGCTGGACAAGCATCCCTCTCAAGAAGGCTACACCCTCCACATAGCAAAAAGTAATGGTTGGAGTAAAATAAAGTTTAAAAAAAACCCTAAACCCTGAAGGGCAACATCAGAATGTAAATGCCTCTAACCAGTCAGGCCTAGAGATGCCACTACAACCTGGGCACATTTCAAATGCTCATCCCTACAGACCCCATTGCCACCTGGTTCCTCCTGCTGTTAACACTCCAAGTCACTTGACACTGAGAGTGTGAGGAGGATAGGCCTGGAAAAGGGGTGAGAGGATCCCTGTCTTGTAGCAGAATGAAATAACTGCCTCAGATGTTCTTTTCACAACTGATTCCCTTTGTCCACCACTGCCCCAAGAAAAATCTTCTTTTTCCTCAAAGAGAAAATCCATGTTTAATCAGCCTGGCCTCAGGCTTTCTCCTCTGTACAGCTCTGAGTGACCCTGAAGTTTGACACAGGAACAACATTTTGCACAGCAGCATCAATGCAGCCCATGCAGGCTGAACTGGAATGCCCCATGGGACAGACACCCTCTTCCCATTCCCTATCCAGAAGTGGGTCACTGCAGTGGATATTTTCTCAATACTCTCTCAAATGACAATATAGGCTCCCGAATTAAGGACTGCACATATGGAAGAACTGTTCAGGTCATCCATTCAACCACACCAAGCCCCAGAGCAGGATCTTCTTTACATTTTCTACTGTTTTGACCCTTCTTGTACAATCCCTCACCTCAACATCAGCTTATTGCAGAAAGGCACAAATACCTCTATACACCTTAACATCAGCACATCATTCTTGGGCTGAAGTTTGCATTTCCTAACTGAGAACCTGGCCTGTTATAAGGCTGCCCATGCTGAGTAGTGGTTCTCAGCAGCTCAACTGTCCAGCTATTTCTAATGTGTAATTGTTCCCCTCTAAACATTCACACATCCCTCAGACAACACATTTTTTTCATGATGGGTTTGCCATGTCACTCCCTGCTGCCAGGCTAAGCCTAGCTTCACTGCAATTTTGCTGGTCAGTTGAACCATTAATAAGTGCAATTGAGAAAATAAAGTTGTTGTCATGTCTTCAGATTTGGAGCCTTTTTTATACACAAGATTTTTTAAATACATTTCATTTTGTAGCAAACTTTATTCTACAGGTTGCAGAAAGCTGCACATCGTCTCCATAAGTTTGAAGTTTGAAATATTTAGATTCAAATCTGGAGATTAAACTTCAGGATGTGAAGTCTGAATTGGAACTGTACACAGAACATGTTTTATTTCAAGCAAAACAGTACAAAATTATTCAAAGCCTCTCAGCTGATGTTCTGTTAAATAATACAGTTCACATGGATTCAGAAGTCCACAGACAGTTTCCCTCCTGTCCAGAAGGTGAAAGGCCAACAACAGTGAACAAGTGTATACTGATTCTTCAAATGTTTCAAGCATTTTAATAATGGCAAATGAAGAGTTACAGATTCATTGTTAATGATGGGCAATATCAGAGCCTCTCTAAGTCTGTAATCAGAGACAATAACCTGTAAGAGGGTATGTTAATAACTACAGTTCTGCTGTACAGCACTTGGCTTTAAAGGGATGACAAAGTTCTTATAAGTTCATTTGTATTTTTTCCACTCTGATGGAGAACTGAGCTAGTCTTAGAAGCTAGAAGAGCTATTGCTTCTCCAACAGTGCTCTCCTGACACTGGTTCTCAGCAACAATGTTGGAAAGAATAATTCCTTTGGAATCTAGAGATAATAGATTTTTGGCAGCAGATGATACCAACCAAATCAGGATATATATCTATATATATGTATATATGATCATTCTTTTGTATAAAGTCTACTGTGTTAGCAACAAGTAGTGACACAGAGACTGCTGTACTTGGATACGGTCTCAAGAGATTTCATTCAGGGATTCACAATATTCTAGGAGAAAATTGAATCAGTTTGAACAAAAGATTGAACACAACACTGCAGATATGTTGAGAGTTCCGTATCTAAGGCCTGCCCAGCACTACACAGGGTCAAACATCAGAGCAAGCACATCAAATACAATAAAGTAAATCATTAAAGTTTACTTTTAAAAGCTCACCTGAAGGTTAACGACACATTCACATTTCTTCTTAGAAGTTTATTTCCCTATATTGGTGTCATGGTTTAGGAATAAATGCTCCCCGATTTAATGTTTGCCACTGAAACTCCAAACTACTCTTGCTCACCCACCCCTTCTTCCCTCTCCGAGGATTTGAGAGGAGAATTGGAGACACAAAAGGCAAAGAAAATGGGTTGAGATAAGAACTATTTACTACAAACAGCAATGAGACAGGAAAAGGAACAATATTAATAATAAAAGCGTACAAAAGAGAGAGTGTGGAGCTCGACCCGACCGCAGCCATGACACCAAAAATTGTTTCTTTTTAGAATATCATCCTTATAAAATAGCAAAATGCTTAATTTCTCACTAAGCTTGTGGCATTAAGCTAAGCATCTGCAGCATGGGGATCTGGGATCAATAACTCAGCAGTACCTCCTGCTGCTCCCTACTCCGAGGGACAGCGACAGTGTGCACACATTTTGTGGCAGGGTCTCCCTGCCTCTGTTTCTACAGGCTGTGAGTACATCCACCCTGTCCTCAAACACTGCTCTCCAGAACTATGGCAGAGCTATGCCAACTTTGAAGTCTCTATCCTTTGAAGTAATAATGGGTTTCCTTTGGTGGGGAGAGGAGAATGCTCTTCAGAAGGTGTTTTGTTTTAGGAAAAAAAAATAAAAATATTGATAATTAACAAAAAAGAAAAAGTAAAGTTAAATCTCAATATAATTAAAATTTATCAAAAAAAGTACAGAACAGAATTCCTTAATTACCCAAGTGAGAGGGAATGGGCAGAAGCCAACACCACTCCCACCTGAAGGACTCCCAGTGAATCTACACCTGCCAACAGGACTGATAAGAACACCTCACCCACTAAAATTCTAGTTCTGCAGTATTCAGATTAACCTTCCTACCATCCCTCACAGCATCACAGTCATTCAACCAGGGAAGTTTCGCCACCACCTGTAGGCAGCAGCAAAAGAAGCTGGGGGAAGAAAGTATCAAGAAACTTGAAAGGTTGTCTACGGCACTGTGGATATTGCATTCCCAACCAATGTTAGTGGCAATTTAGCCTAGAATTACACTGCAAGCTTCGAATATCTCAGCAAATCAGAGAGATGAATAATTTATAACAAATAGTTTGAGCTTCCAGCTGAGGACAGTGGAGGCGCCTATTTTCTGCAGTGGCTTCCTCAGAAAGTCTCTCCCTGCTTCTCTGCTAGGACATTGGAAGTGATAATACCAACATTGCCTCAGTTAAAAATATCATGTTGGCATTGTTTCACAAACCTTTTAGCAAACTTTAATCAAAGCCAGTGGTACCATTCCATGTCAGCTGTTTTCTCTGGATTGTTTGACCAGGCAACTTCTACATCAAACTGTTTCAAAGAACAAAGCCAGTGGAGGAGGAGAATAGGACATTTTGTCCATGTCAAGATCCGATGACCTCTAAACCAAACCCACACTTCAAAGTGGCAAGCCTGACATCTAGCCAAGGGCTTGGAATTAGGGATGAGCCTCTTTGCCCCAGCTTTCACATTACAGCATGCCCCAAGCTACAATGGTATTTATGAACTCCATGTGAGAAAGAAAAATAAACATCTGTGGGCCCCACAGGACTGGCAGAAATCCGCAACAGATTTGCCATCACAAACCCAGTCTTGAATGGCTCTGTTTCAGTTCTGCACAAGAGCAGATCTGCTCTACAAAGGCAGTGCAGCAAATGGGCACCTGACCCCTGGCAGCAGAAAGAGGATATCCCAATCACGCTCACTTATCTTGCTGCTGGGTCCACTGATGATATAAAAAGCCAGAGGGACAATCATTACTTTATATTCTAATTACCTGCCTGACAAAAGGCGCTGCATTTCCCCGAATTCCCATTCGGCCTCAGCTCCACAAAGTTAAATCATTCTTACACATTTTCCAGAGGTCAAGTACTCAAAGCAGCACTTGACAAATCAGGTCAGTGAGTCTCTAAAAGTGCACACCTTATTTTTCTTGGCTAAAATTCATCAACTAGAATCTAAGGATGACAAACAGGTGTTTATACTGTAAGGAGACATAATTTTTTACGTCTCCTCATTATTCATGCACAGTCCCAAGGCAAATTTATAGCAAGCTTTTAAAAATAGCATTAATAATCTTAGGGGCTGCACTAAGACCCTAATTAAGATGGTATATGAATGTTTCTTGCTAGCATGTGAGATTATAGATTTAAGCTACACAGTCTCAAGGCTCCTTAAGGAATTTATTTTCTTAAAACTAGTTTGGAAAAGACAGTCATTATTTTTGCTTTTATAAAAGGTGTTGAGACATAGTTGCACAGGTGCAGAGTTGAAAGGGACATTCAGCAATAGCCTTTCCCTCTGCTCACAGCAAGGCAGCAGAAGACACCTCCAGCTTTTCAGCACGAGTTGCAAGTTGAATCAAGGTTGAACTCAGGTTAAAGAGTCCTCTCTTCAGAAGTTACCACACATCAGTGGAATAAATTTGTGTTGCTTTCTGTGGATAAACAGAGTCTTCTCACTGGAAACAATTGCCATTTAACAAGTATCCTAGGAAGCTGTTAACCTGATTTAACTGAACTGACAACTTATTCTTATACCAGAAGCAAGCATGCACTCCCACAGTGACCAAAGCTTTCCTGGCAGAGCTCTCTCTCTGGATTTATCATTAACATCTACATCCTAACACTGCTAAATAATTCAGTACAGCATTTAGCCTTGTGTCCTTGCCTCTCTACTCAGAAACCACTCGCTTTTCTGCATGTTTCAGCAACAGGGAACAAAAACCTGCCTGGATTGTGGTTCCTTCCACCTTGTGCTGTGTAACTGAGGGGAGGACCATAGTTACCCTTTCAACATAGAAGCACGGGTTTTATTTCTTTTATTTTGTTGGAAATAGTGTTTATTAGATAACTAAATTTAGAGCGTTATTTATCCACACGGAGTCATGACCATGTGGGCTCAGATTCACATGCAAATTCCCCTTTTAATAATCCTAATGCAGGGAGTGCTCCAATCAGAGTGCTATCAGCCCCAGCTCCCAGATACCTGATGCCAGCTTTGCTGGTAATGTAGGCCACCGAAGCAAATCCAGAGAGATTGAGTTGGAAGTGGAGAGAGGCTCTGAGATCTATTTGCTTGGCTTCCTGACGACGAGGGGGTGTCTAACTTCTTTTTTTTTCTTTTCTGCTGCGAAGGGGATATCATTTAAGAGGGATCATTAGCTGCGAGCAGCCCGGCTGGGTCAAGGCTGGGAGGCGGAGACGTGGTTGCGAGCAGCGAAGCAAGGTGGAGGCACGAAGACAGAAGACCAGGTTAATGAAAGCATGAGGTGGCTCTTGGGCAGCAGCTTGAAAAATTTTGGACATGCTGACAGGGGAAACTACGACTGGCTAAACAGCGAAGCAGGTGGGCCACTTCTGGAAACAGAGCTTCAGGTCTGTACCCCTCTGCTCATGTCTGTGGCATGTCCTTTGACGTTGTGTGTGTGTGTATGTCTGTGTAATGCCTTGGTGTAGAGTGCAGAGCAAACCCCTGGGTATTGGGGCGTATCAAAGCACTGCTGCTCAATTGCATAGAGTCAGTGCATGTCCTTATTGCTGTTAAGTCTTTTTAAACACATTTGTGGAAGAGAAAAACATTAGACAGAAAAATTTCGGTAGGGTGTCAGGTAAGGAAGTTTAATTACTTCTTTTAATCGTAAGGCACCCTCGATTTCCTTTCTGTTAAAGGCGTGTTTATGCTTTGGAGCTGGTCCCGTGAAGCCTTTCTGCAGATGTTGCCAGTCGGTAGCAGGCAGCAATGAACTCTTGTTCCCTAAGCTGTGCGCTGATTACTTCTGCGAGAGAGGATCACATGCAGCCCAGTGGGGGGAGGGAGGGAGCCCCCAGAGATGAAAACACAGCCTGCTTTCTGCCTTTGTCTGGGAAACAGCAAAAGGGTTTCTCTGAGAAAAAATAATAATTTAAGGTGCTCGTATGTCCTCAGCAAATGTCCGAAGGCATGTTGCACTAGCAAATGAACTGGCCGCACTACTCAGCTGATACAAATATATATATATATATATAACTGAGTATATAACAGTATATATATATATCAGCTGAGTATATAACAGTACACACACACACACAGACATATATATATATATAAATATTTACACTGTTGCAAAATAAATGGGGGTAAGAGCGTGCATTGGTGTCAAAACAGGACAAGAAGTAGTATTTGAATGTTGCCACAATTTTAACAAGGTCTGCCTCACCGGTAGCATTGCCAGAGTTAGCAATGGCAATGTCTTCACACCTCGAGGTTGCTTTTATCTGACAGTAAGAAACAAACAGCATCACTAGAGTCACATTCCAACAAGTATTTGAAAATTCTGTGTAAATCCAGGCTCACTTCTAAATTACGTGTCACTGCTAATGGATACAAAACCACATAAAAATGTTTTTCTGTTTGCTAGAGCTACATGTTTTTGCTTTTTACAAGCAATAACGGATAAGCTTCAAGAAGCAGGGTAGAGCTTGGAAAAGAATTTATGGGGGGACCTCACCCTAATGACTTTAAAGCAGACTTTGTTCCAAATCCACTTAAAATATTTCAGAAGTATCGGTTTCCTGATTCAGATTCAAAAGATATTAGTATAAATGTGGGCTATAGTAACACAAATAATTTTAATGGAGTTCTAAGTACACTAGCAAATCATTAACAACATAATAAATCCTAGCACAACCCAATCACTTTGATGGGAATTTCAGTAAGCAAAACAAACTTTCATTTTTCTATCCTTACACAAAAGCTTTCCTTAACCTTATGTTTTGCCTGTGGGGTGATTCTCTCCCATGGCAGGTACTACCCCTGGTTTGTCCAGACACATACTTCAGCTCCAAGCCCTTCCCATTGCTCATCCTGGATCCACCACACAACTCAGCCACAGTCTGCATTTCATTCCTTTACCAACAGGCATGAGTAAAAGCTCATCTTAGCTGATATGGGTCACATAATCTGTAAGCTGGCAACTGTACATGCTCAGCATGTGAAGAGAACAGAGGCAGACAGATTAGTAATGAAAGGCTTTACTACTGCCAGTATGTGCTCAGTGGTTGGGGGAAACTGACCCTCTGCTTCAGTCCCTACAAACACATAAACAAAGGGAGGAGAATAAACAATGTCCAAACTACCCTATGAAGGACAGTTTTTAAAAAGGATGTTTTCCCATATTTATTTGTCTGTAGCTTATGATGGAAGTCAGATTCTTATTTTTGTGACTTATAAACCTGACAATAGATGCTTGTGATGACACAAAGCACACTGATCTCCAGTGAAGCAGCATCAAAACAAAAACCAGTCAATTAATAATTCCATCAGTCACTTCATATGCCTGGTGTGGAAACTTTCAGATGTAAAATGGTAGAGGATTTTATCTTAAATATGTTCTGCAGTTGTATTACTTTCAATTAATGGAGATTCAGTTTGATTTCTAGAAAATGTTGGTTTCCAGTTCTGCCAGCTATTCCTGATACCTGTACAAAGTGGTCACTTTTCTAGTTTTAGACCTTCAGCTGCAGAAGTTAGTTTTAGGTCAGTTTAGAACTAGTTTTAGTTTAGAATTTCAGAATTTTTTTTAAGTGACCCTTGATTCATTGTATTAAAATTATTCCTATTTTTAGTGTAATTTCTAAAACACCTATTAGATTTTCCAAGAGTTTATGTCAAGATCTTTGCAGCATTCTTCAGTAGCCCTTTAGGCAGTCATTGCAGAAATGGGCATAAAACTGCAATAGAAAAAGAGGGACTAATATTGATCAATTGTCTCCTATGACATTTGATATATTTATATGGATATACATACAAGAAGTCCATCAGCTTTTGGAACTACACCTCAGAGTAAAATCAGTCCATGTAATGTTTGGCAGGAGGCAGAATCCAAATGGGTGTATACCTCCCTGTTCAGGTTCAGGGCATCTGTGGGGCAGTATTAACTTATGAAAAACTATTTCAGCTCAAGTAATACACTAAGCTGCCTACAAATTGCTTCACCCAGACAGGAAAGTGTTAACATTAGCTGTGTTTAAACAGCTCTGAGCACTCTGAAACACAAACTGAATAAAACCAGTCTTTATTGTCACCTGTTAGCATGGAGAAAAAGCATGAAGCTGAATCAGGGGAGGTTTAGGTTAGATATGAGGAAAAAAATTTCACTCAGAGGGTGGTTGGGCACTGGGACAGACTCCCCAGGGTAGTGGTCACAGCATCAGCCTGATAGAGTTCAAAAATCATTTGGGCAATGCTTGAAGGTAGATGGTGTGACTCTTGGGGTGTCCTGCACAGGGCCAGGAGCAGGGCTCAATGAGTCCCCTCTAACTCAGCATATATTTTAATTCTATAATATTGCTTAATTCTTATTCCTATTTGCTTCACATGCCACTAATTTGCAGATCACAGCAAAGCACACTTACGGTTCTTTCACAACTATTCAGTAGCCATGAAACAAAAGAACAAACTAAACAAATTTATTATGTCTTCTTTTGCACACATAACTGAACAGACAGCCACCAGGCACCAGTTGTTGTGGTTATCTTGAAATAGAATAGGGTAAAGTACGAGTAGTTCAGTTGGAAAGGGCCTGCAATGAAAATCTAGTCCAAGCACCTGGCCACTTGAGGGAGTACAAGAGAATATGGGCTGCTTTGTAATAACCTGTGCAATTTTTGTGTAGATCCCACAGTGCAATAAAGTGCTTGCAGGTTCAGGGCACTTTCACCGTCAGAGACAGCAATACAGACACAGAGTTTCTGCAAACCATACCTAAGGATCTCAACCCAGACACTCAAAATGAGGCATAAACAACAAGAAAAACCTGCACTGATCTGTCTTGCCCCTTCCCCAGAGCATTTGGTAGCAGGGACAGGAGTACAGCTCCCCAGGAGAACATCTGCTTTACCACACAAGCAGGCAGTCCTCCCCCTTCCCAGTCTTCTGACTCTGTCCCTGCATACTCTACACACCCTGCAAGAGTACTCCCTGCATACTCTACACACCCTGCAAGAGTACTCTGCAGTACTGTGGTGCTCATCTCCTTCCCTAAAGAATCTATCACAACCCTGAGGAGCCACTTTGTGCACAATAATGTAATTACAAATTATATGTGTTGCAGAGCAAATCAAGGATTTCACAAATTTCAAAAATGCCAGCATTTATTCAGGCTTGAGAACTTGATTTTATTTATTCAGGCTTGAGAACTTGATTTTGCAACTTTAGAGGCAGTGCTATAGGTTACTCTTGGAGGGCTTTTAAACAAGAAGAGTTTTCAGGATGGTGAGCCAAGGTGTCATTTTGTAGCAGCTTCACAGACTGTGGCCATCTGAGCTAGTTCTTACTACAAATAGTTGCACCCCTTCCATTTTGTCCATTTGATGCAAACTGTTGTTCCCTCCAACAATAATGTATTTTGCAGGTTTCTCTTAATGGGTACCTCATTGCAAGGCCCAAGACCTCTGGGTTCCAATCAAGGCTTTGGAGCAAAGCATATTTCCCTGAGACCCATGACCATTTGTTAATTCCTTCCATCAGGCTTAACCTTTCCTTCCCTTCTGAAGTCCAGGATTTGTACGAGGACAAGTCTTACAGCCCTGACTCTTGTCTGTGCTTCCACCAGCACATGAAGGATACACTGTCCTTGGCCATTATTTAACACACAAATATAGTTCCAGTGAAATTTATAGGAAAGATGCACTGAGTTTAAATGACAATTGGGGCTTTATATACTTTTTACTAATCTCTTGTAGGAAACACTGGCAATCTCACTGTCTGTCCTCACAAACCACCAGGACACTGTACAACTCACAGATCCTAAGACCAACCCTTAAACTGGATGAAAGCCTGTTCCCTACACATTAAACCCAAAACTTAGATTTGGATTTTAAAAACAAGCTCTTCACTGCTGATGAATAACACTGTCCATTGTAAGCTCAGCTCCTCTCAATATTTACTGTAAGACTATTGGTAACATATTGGTGAGTAATGCATCAGTGAGTCTCCACATACATAGTGCACTAACATAATGAATGCTTTTTTCTCATTTTCTCTTGAAGTGTTTTATGCACCTCATAAGACACACTAAAAAAGCATTAACAAACTTAAAAAAATAAAAATCCCCTCATTTTAAAGAAATTATTTAATGTCTGCATTGGAAGAACAGCTGGAACAATTTGTTCCAATTCTGCCCTTTCCTGTCACTCATTGAATGGTGAGGTAAGACAACAGCTTGTACAGCCACAAACTATTTAATAAAAATTATCAATAAATAAAAAATAGTTCTTTAATATGCATTTTTTTAAATAAAAATCCATTGGGGGAAAATAGATTAATAGCTAATCTGCAAAAGTTCCAGTGTATTTTAAAATTAATGCATTTAACTTCGGGTCTATGATACCTTAGGAAAAAAAATAGAAAAACAATAATCTCCCCTACATAATTTGTTAGGAGTCAATGCCTATTTACTTCATTTTTCTTAGGCATGACCACATAATAATAATTTCATAATATGACAACAAAGCAAAGAGGTGACAAATGCCTGGTAGATAACCAGTTGAATGTAGATTACAGTGTGATTTTGTAGCTAGAAGAAAGACTGAGATTCCTGGAAGAACTGAAAGTTTTTGTAGACTAAGAAGGAGACACTGGAGTTAGTGTCCTTTTCACAAAGCCATTGCTGTAAACAGCCAGTTTGCATCCCTGCTTCCAAACCCTTTGAGGAGAGAATCACTCAAGTTCTCCTAGCCTAAATGGGCACCTTCCCTCAAAATAAAGGAAATCTGATCCACGACCTGTTTAGTTTCCCCATGCAAATGTGAAAAAGCCACCTCATCAAGAGCTTACAAAAGGAATGACTTGATAAACAGCATTACAGGGTTTGGGTTTTCCTCCTGCCCTAGTCTAGACCCTGAATGGGACCCAATTATTAGGAGGTGGAGTCAAACTGGAAACAAGATATACTAAATTTTAAAATTAAAGCTAATACAGCACAAGAGCACAAATAGCTTTGTTGATTTTTTCCCATAGCCTATGACTCCAGTTAACACTACATCACAATTCTAAAGCTGTGGGACAGAGGTCTTTTGTGCTACATTTTGCAGAAAACAAAGTTGACACAGCAGTTACAACTGTTATTTCTTTTATACCAGAAGTTCTTTTTCCATAGTTCTAAACAGGGAAAAATGAATCTTATATCACTGGCAGAACAATCTCAAGAGGTCCAGTCCAAGCTGTCCTGTCCAATAAAAACACCATGTTTTATTTGGAACTGGCCTGTGAGGTTAGAGCAACCCAAAGAGCAGGTATTATAGGCAATGAGCCCTGTTAGAAAGGGCTAGCTGTCATAATATTTGCTCTTTAAACAGTTTTCCAAACACAAAGAAACAACACCAGGTGGTAGATCACCAGCCTTATTCATCTGCAGTTCAATGTTCTCCTAAATGTTAAAAGCTTGACCAATCCCCTGCAAAGCTGACTGGTCCTGCTATAATCCAAGGTAGTAAAATGTAATACAAATACAATGTAATAAAATGTCATACAAAATTGCATATACTTCCAGGCTGTTGGGGTTTTTCCCCCACTGGAGACAGGGTTTTCTAAAAACCCAATACTCTTTGCAACTTCTCTGGGGTTTTTTTGTCTCTGGTTGTGATTTGCTCTAACTGGCCAGTGAATAGAACTCACGAGTCTGCAAAACACTGCTTGAATACTAGTGCAGAGAAAGGAATTTGGAAAAGCAACTGCTATGTCATAAGGTGGCAACGGGGAAAGTGGTTTTGCTCTCTGACTGAGAGATCTCCAGGAATCCAACTCCCTTCCTATTTGCTTTGGTTACAGAGCAGACAACAGACAAGTTCAACCAAAGACGACATAGAGCCATTTCTGTGTATCATACTGCCTGCCACCATGATGCTCTTCCTGGCATTCCTGCTGCTCTTCCTGTACCGCCGTTGCCAGCACCCCTCTCAGCAGGGGCAGATCTTCAGCATCGACCTTCCCGAGGCCCTGCCTGAGCACGATGTCTCCAACTTCCTTTCTGCCCTGCCCTGGAGCACCGAGCAGAGCTTCCACTACTCGACGCTGCTCCCTGATGCCACATTCCTCTCTGTGTGTTTGCCTCCATCGTATGAGGAGGCCACCATGAAGACTTCCATGGAAGAGGCTCACATTGAGCTCTCTCCAGACCCAGTGCCTCCTTACGAAGAGAGCACGCTGCAGACCAGCAGCACCAAATAAACTTCCTACGGAAGCACCTTAGCCGAAGCATGCAGCACAAAGGTAGAACTGCTATGGCCTTTAAAATTTGTGAAAAGATTCCAAATGAGGCACAAAACCAATGAATTTATGAAGGAAGAAACTTGAAGTAACAGAGAGTGCGTGTCTTCACCTCATCCTAGGATTCTCTACCTTCCATTTGTGGCAAGTGTACACACGGTGTAGCACCAAATCCAGTCCGAACACGGGGATTCTAGTTAACAAACATGTCATGCAAGGATTAAATTTAAGGAAAGCCGGGAAGCTCCTCCTCTGTAATCCCTCAGCTACAACAAAATGTCAATAATGCTATAGATTCAGCAATCATAAAAAGGGCTTTTAGCACATACATATTCCAGTTTGGGTTTTTTTTCTATTTTATGCATTTATATTTAAATGAGTTTTTGACAAGATGAGTCACTCAGTCTGTGTGTGTTTACATCACGTCATTCTGCAGTGCTCTGGAATGATCACAACAGCTCTCAGGAAAGCAAATAAATATATAACCTCTACAAAATTTCCAGTAACTGTCCCCAAAGGTTCAAATGTGCACTGTGAATAAAAGCTGTCCTCTCTCACAGTTGAACAATAAGGACAACCAGAGAAGACCTGATTATTCTGGGTGAGGAAGACTCCATACAAGAGCACACTCACTCTGTTGCTGCAAGCTGCTTGCCAAGGTCTTGTGAGGTCCCAGCATTCCAGACTACTCGGTTGACTTCTTTTCCAAGTCTAAAATAATAAACCATGTGACTTACTTGGTGCAGTGTGTAAAGGAGTTGGGGAAAAATTAATAAAATCAAGTGCACCAAAAAAACCCTGGTCTGTATTTCAAAACTGCATTATAATCCCTTCCCCTTCATCACCAGGGCAGGGTGAGGCTAATTCAAGTGTGTTGGTGGCAGTGGTTCGGAGGGTTTGCATATGCATATGCTTTCAGAAAATGATGTATGTTATCTTCAATTCTTTCTTACATGATAGCATTTTCACTAAGTTGAGAAGTGCTCTTGTTACAGAAGGTGGCTACTACAGCTCATGACAGCCCCAAAAGTTGTGTTGGCAAGCCACAGACAAATGCAGTGTCGTGGAATAGGTGACACCTGCAAGGAAGAAACTGTCCTAACAGCTTGTGCAGTCTTGGTGTAATTTACAAACCCAAAGGCTTGTACTTGTTGATTTCAACAACTGTCAGGAGGTGTCAATAGCAGCCAGTCCTGCTTTACAAACTTGGCACATTCCTTAAAAAAACCCAACAAAAACAACAACACAGTAACAGAAGAAAAAATCCTCACTGTACAGCAGAAGAAGGGCCACTTTGGACCTGCAAAGTGGTTGAATTCCATGTTATGTCAACAGTGACACATTCACAGTAACCAAATAGTCCATATCAAAACTGATGTTCCCTCTCATACATTTCTCTTACAACGAGGAAAAAATATACCTTTTTTATTTAGAAAAAAGGGTCATTTTCTTGAACTACAAATTTGAGATCACTCTTTTTCTAATGTTCCATATGGGCCATCAGACTGAAGCAGCAGATGTTTTGGAAAACTCCAAATTCAATCAACCATTTTTCTTTTCAGACCATATCTGGGAACAGTTCCCAGTATTTGCTGATGTGTTTGAAAGTACCATATTCTACTGCCTCCTCGCATTTTCTTTACTTCCTTAATATTTGGTACATGCAGTTGTTTCCAAGAAAAGCTGGAAAAATAGAAAAGCTCCAAACAACATACCTAATTGGAAAGGTGTAAAGGTTTGAGGTTCAAAGATAAATCACTTCTGCCTCTTGTGTTTGTATATTCCACTAGTATATGCTGTATATTCAGCAGAATTGCACTGATATGCTTGAAAACTTTGTCATATTGTCATATCAAGTTGAATATATTTTGCCTTAAGAGATCTTAAGAGACCTGCTGTGTTCTGAAATGAGTTACACTGTTCCTCAGCATGATCTCTTGTTTACCCTTATCTTGGGTAAAGCTTGATACTCAGCCTCTGGGCTCATCATTCGACACTGCTCTCCTGTTACCTTAGTTACAGTTAAGAAAAATTTTGACTGGTACTTCTTGTGACCAAGACTGATATACTTCTAAAGCTAGTTGAGAATTGCTATCCTCTGCAAGAATACAGTGATTGTGTTTCAAGCACTGTTTATTGGACAACTCTCAAGGTCTGCTTTAGACAAATAGCTTCTGATTGTTAGCATTGCTAAAGACAATTAAAAACAGACACTTCCTCAAATCCATATTAACAGAAACACTTCCATGACTTAAATTCTTCTTTCTAGTAAACTGCAACTCCAGTAATCTGAAATTGGTATCCCTTATCTCATTCCAACACAGATTTGTCTAGTCTTGTATGTTAATTGTCCCTAGTAGGTTTCAACATAACTGGCATCGCTACTCATAAATCTCCTCCCCAAAGAGAAATCCCACCCCAAAAATCCCAAAAAAAACAAAGACAACATTTCTCATGCAAACATACTGAAATTAAATCTCCATTGCCTAGAAGCTGTCTCTGATCCTGTCAGGCTGTGGTGACACACATCTCAGCAGCCACTGTGCTACTGATGTTAGTGCTACTGGTTGTGGAGCAGCTGTCAGGTTCTCTGGGCAAACACCTTGTGCATCAAAGCAGAGAGCTCATCACCTGAAAGGAACTCATGCCTGGCAACAGGAGCAACCATAAGTGCAATGGGAAGATCTTTCATTGTTTTAGCTCCAGTAATCTGAAAGGTGAAGGTTTAGAGCATCCCATCTAAAAGAAATACGTTGGAATTGGGACCATAAACAAACAGACTGAGGAAAAACATTGAGCTTTTAATTACATAAAAGGTAACTGCAAACAAAGTAAAATAGAGACCCATCATGCCTGCACCAATCCAAACAGGTACTAGTGATTTTAAACTGAGGTAAAATTAAATCAGAAAAGAAAACTCTAAAAGTGGAGTGTAGCCTGAAAGTGCAGTGAAGCAGAGGCAGCACCATCTCTGGACACACTGAGAAGGTAGACAAGCATCTGTCCACAATGATGAAGGCTCCTCATTGGAGCAGAGAACGGATTAGATGTCCTTTCTCTGTCCTTCCCTGTTCCCATGCCCTAAAGTTACATCAAAGTACGTTTTGTCACTTGTTTCCAAATTGTATGAAATGAGATGGCTGTTTCTTTGAAAATTTCATATTATGAGATTTCATGTGCATCCAGAAATCACTGTAACATTGGCATTGTACTTTAAAGCCATGAGGTTCTTTTCTTTTGTTTAATTCTTATATCTGCTAGTACACATACAAATTATGAACTCAGCTTGACATGAAGAATAATTGTAATTCATTTTCCTATTATGAAAATACTAAGGAACCATGATGAGATTGATGACATATACGCTACCCCTTGTTTATGTTTAGTAGGAAACTATGCAGCAATACAGCTCCTTTCATGGAGGGGGCTTCACAGGTTTAGAGGGCAATCTCTGTGCTTGTCCTCCCTGTGAGAGCTGCCAAAGTCCCTCACTGACATGGGTCCATTGTTCTGCAGACCAAGATGAGCACACATCTTGCACACACAGCAGATTCTTGATCAAAAGACATTTAGTGGAAAACAACACAGGTAATTTATACAAAATCATTCTTCTAGATATCCACTGAAAGTATTCAGCACACATCCCCAGTAAGGCTGCAGTAGTTTCATATTACTAGAATATCCTGCCTGTCTCATTTCAGCCAAAGGAGGAAAAGATGACACAGCTCTTTGCAACCACTGTGGGATCTCAGAAACTAACATCCTGGATAAAATTGATGCATGCTTCTGCAGGGATCAAGCATCTGGCACCTGATCTTTGCTGAATTTTAACTCCTGACTCATTAGTTTGTACTTGCCAATGACAAAATGTGCTTTTAAAAACAGAATAGTCATTGCTTGGCCCTATGAAGTAACCCTTGCCTAGGAAAGGCAGAGCAAGCAAATCAGTGCATGAATTTCACTTCAGAGAAATCCCTACCTGTAACAAGTATCTTGACTAGAAATTTAGAAACCCAACTGAAGTGGTAAACACCTTGGAAAAAAAAGAACAACCGAATCCTGACAAAAAAACAGAACAACCAAATCCTTTATGATAGTTCAATAATACTATGGCAGTTAAGGAAGAACTGTTCTCAAAATAAAACTCTTCATTTAATCCATGCTTTAAAGGAATTTACTTGGGTTCTTATGGCAGCAAAGCCTCCAAATACAGACACACAACTACTTTTGCTAATACAAACTCCACTGGCATGAGCTATATATGCTCCAGTAGTGAAAACTCTTAAAAATGCAAGTTTTATCATTAGGAGAAAGTGAGCGGGCAGTCTTATTCTGGTTAGGAGAGTAATTTTATTTGGGTGCAGGGGTTTTTGTTGTTGTTTTTTGTTGGGTTTTTTTACAAATTTTCAAGAACATGCATTGCACAGATAAGCACAGATAAGGATGAGCTGAATGCTTATGGCAAATAAATTATTCACTGACTCCTCTCTCAAAAATTGTCATAAGTGAAACAGCTATGAATTTTTAATAATGAAATTCCTTAATTTCAGTCTGTTAGTAAATAATCATGTCATGTTGTGACTTTCATTACAAAGCAGTTCTACTCATCAATCGGATAATGAGTTCTTCTGCAGAACAGGAAAGGCATGTGAGTGTGGAGCCTAAGGAAGGTGTCCTCTGTAAGAAAGACAATCTGCCATTCTCAGTGGTATGGCTAGCAAGGCTGGGCACAGCTAATAAATCAGTGCTGCAGATACATGGGCCTTGATGAAGACAGCTAAACCTCACTGAAGACTCTTGGATACACGACTAGGCTGACAGCACTGTAAATGTACGTTTGCACTTTCATAAGCTTTTCATTAAAAAGGTAAAAAAAACACCAATATCTTTCATGTTTCTTGAGGTGAGTTGTCTCCACTTGTCAAACACAAACACTCACAAACTTGTCTGTGAGTTTGGCTCCGTCAGTAGTTTTACTTCTGATTATTCACAGGAATATTATGTCTATGAGAGCTTACTGTCAGAAATCAAGTTTAAGGAAGAAGCTGCAATAAAAACTAGTACTCAGAATTTCATAGAAACAAATCATAGAATCACTGAGGTTGGAAAAGGCCTCTAAGATCATCAAGTCCAACTTTTAGCCAGCATTGTCGTGTTCACTGCTAAACCATGTAAGCGACACATCTACATATTTTTTTAACACTTCCAGGGATGGTGACACCACCACTTTCCTGGACAGCCTGTTTCAATGCTTGATAACTTTTAGTGAAGAAATCTTTTGTAATATCCAATTTAAACCTTCCCTGGTGCAATTTTCCCTCTCTTCTTCTCACTCTTTACTTGGGAGAAGAGGCCAACCCCTACTTCACTATGAACATCCTTTCAAACAAGTTGTGCCATTAATATCATGCTATCTTACTCAGCCCTTTCTATATTCATTTGTCCCTGCAATGTCAGCATTATTTTATTCTTGTTATTTTTCTTCTTGAATGCTTACCTTAGAACTTTTCAGACATTTCCATCTGTGACAAAAATAAATACTTCAAGAGATCATGGACAGGCAATTCTCTCCAGTCATGTCAAGCACTTTCATAGGTCTGTCTATCTTTTATTTTATAGTGTTTTGGCTTCTTGTTTTGTTTTTTCCAGGTTCAAACTGAGAGAACTGAATGCATGTTTGTTTTAGTTCTTTGAATAATAAGGAACTGAATTCCTTTAGTGGCCTTCCAAGCACCAAGGATAGGAGGCGAAGCCATACTCTTCCTGCCCTACACCATCAAGC